ACACAGAGAAACAGGGGAAAAGGTGTTGGAAAAGAACAAAAAACAGGAGAAGGCGCTAACAAGTTCCTTCAAGAGTGACCCATCTCAAGAATGTCAGCTGGAACACCTGTATTTTGAAGGCAATCTTAAGCATGCATGAAAAAAAACACACTCTCGCTCTCTCTTTTACACACACATGCACGCACGCACTTAATTCAAACACATTAGACCACACAAGCTGGTGCAGGTTAAGCAGACAAAAGACCTAGACTTCTTGCCCTGGCACACAAACAAATACATCCCCTGTTTTCATGTGGGGATTTGTATAAGATAAATATATTTGTATTTCATGGTTAATAATGTGTTGCTCCCTCCTCTACTCCCCAGGTTACAATTAAATATTTTACTCTATATAAACAGTGGCTGCAGTTATGGAGGCAAGACAAAAGCTGCCATCCTGTGACATCAATATTCATGTTCTCATACAATGCAGTGTTTATTGCCCAACAGCACAGACTTTGTCCTCTAGGTAAGCTGGACTTCAAACAAAAAACAAAACTTTCTTTCCATTCTAGAGGCAAGAATGGATAAAAACTTCTAAATGTGAATTTAGAAATAAATGAATGAATTATTCAAATGAACACTTGGAAATTCATAAACATGGACAAACATCTAGATTGGAAACTCTGACTCTAGGCAAAGATCAGGAACTGATAATATGTCCGATAGCTAACCCTCACATCCCATGTACTGAGGTGGTACCATGGTACAGATTGTAGTAATGGCATTTTTATTATGCTTGCCACAATGGGGCCTCAGTCTAACTCAGTGGCCAAGTCAGACTAAAGTTATCAAAATGGCTTAAATTGATTACAGAACTTTTATTTACTACATATTTATTGAAAAAAATATTATGCTATTTAATTTTGCATCATAACAATCTAAAGAATTAAGAGATACGAATTATGCAAGGTTTGTTTCAATATTTGTTTTTATATAAACAAATGTTGAATTTTATAGACCGTAATACAGTTTTTCCAGTATTCTTTGATGAACAGAAAGTTCAAAAGAACAGCATTTATTTGAAATGGATCTTTGCCAAAGTATTTACTTTCACTTTTGATCAGTTTACTACATCTTTGCTGAATAAAACTATTCATTTCTTTAAAAAAAAAAAAATTTACTCTGTATTTACTCTGAAATGGCATTAAAGTGTTTCTTTCCCAATCAGAGTAAGCATTATTTTAATCTAACAACTATTGTTGCTAGTTTAATGCTAAAAAAAACAAAAATGTTAAACAAACAAAGTTTAACATAATTAAAGGGCAGTGAAAACATAACACTCTACAATATATTATGGTATAATATATAATTTTTTTATATAAATATAATTTCTAGTGACACCCAAATAAAAAGCACATATAATCATAGCTTTAATGTTACATTTTGGCAACATCACCACTGCACATATATGGTTAATATTCAGTGTTGACGAGCTCTGTTGTCAGAGGGTATAGATGTGTGCACTGCAGACCTGAGTATGTTGGGATGTCTGAGGCGGTTCATCAGCTGTACCTCCTTCAGCATGTTGGCTTTGTTACTGGCCATGGTGTTCATCTTCAGAGCCATCACCTGCCCCGTGGACCGATGCTGCACCTTCAGAGAAAGAGAGAGAAAATGCTTGTCACAGACAGACACTTTAGAGGTCTATTCATGTCTGGGCCAGCTGGACAGAGATCTCTGGCCCTTTTCTCCCTCCCTCCCACACGAGCACGCACGCAGGCACACACACACACACACACACACACACAGTGGTCGACCGATATTGGTTTTTTGACAGCCGATGCCTTGGAAAGCAGGGGGACTGATAGCCGATATAATTTGTTTTTAATTTGAATGAATATTTAAGAAATTTGAAATCATTTGACAATGGATAAAAAAAACAAACGTGTAAAATAAACATGCTTATACTTTAGATGTCAAAGTATTGTTCACAAATAAAATAAATATTTAATAAATATATAATTTAAAAGGAAGTAAACACTGTAACCAACAGGGCACTCAGTATTCTGGGAAGTTTGTGGGCATTGGGAATCATATTTGTCAAATAAAGCCAGGGTAACACTCATTTTACATACAGCACACAGAGAAAATGACATGAATATGACAGTGGCACATGCATAAAGCGCAGCATAATTTGAAATCACGAGTTTAAAGTACTCAATTCACACGGAACCAACCGTCACACAGAGAACACGCGATCATGCTGGATAAAAATGCACACTTCATAAGATCTCACAGCTGGATTTGACTAAGTTTGCAAGGTTTGTGAAATTAAATGTTCATTAGTCATTCTAAGATTTGTTTAAATGTGTATTTGCCGAATGCTGACAGCAAACAAGAAAGTATTATAATGTTTGTCTTTCTATTACTAATAATACAAAAGCAATCGTTATATTACTTTTTGTATACATTAATTACTTTGTTTAACCGTTCTATCTGATTATTAGACAGACTTCTATCCGTATTAGACAAAACTGTTAACAACGACAGTAAACAAGAGGGAGAATGTGAGCCGTGACGCCTCGCCATCAAAATAAAAGTCCCGCCTCGAACACATCGGCCAAGCAGAAAAACTTATCGGCCGATGCCAATATTTGAAAAATGCCTTGACGACATATCGGTCGACCACTAACACACACACACGTTTACTTGACTATCTAATGGTGCTCTTCCACTGCCTGGTACGGCACTGTACGGTTAACTTTTTGGGGGGTTTCCACTGGGTACAGTACCTGGTACTTTTTTTTAGTACCACCTCGGTTGGGATTCCAAGTGAACCATACCATTACCAAAATGTGACGTTTAAACTCTGCTGATCACGGATTGGCCGGAGACAATCGTCACTACCTGCATCACTGAACTTGTGACACAAACACAAAAGAACCTCTAGATTTAAATCAGCACAGCCAGCGAAGGATCGAACGCAACTGTTTTGAACGAGAGCACCTTTATTTAACAACCAAAAAGTTTTGTTGTCTGTTGCGGAAGAACAGACGTTCCTCTCGTTGATAGCAGAGGAGCGGATCCAGCGAGAGCTTGATGGGGCGACGTGGAATGAAAAAGTTTATTTTTTTATTTTTTTTTTAGGAGTTGTGGTAGTAGAGGCGGTGCAACTATAATGACATGTGAATAATCGCGCCCACTCTAAAGTGGTACTGAACTGCAGTGGAAACACAAACCGTGCCGAGCCGAACCGTGCCGTGCAGAGCCGAGTCGTACCACGCAGTGGAAAAGCGCCATAAATGGGGACATTACATAGACTTTTATTGTTTATATACAGATCTGTATATAAACTTATTAACCTAAACCCACCCCTACATTTTTACAATTTAAAAAAAAAAAAAAAATTAAAAAAACTGTTTACTTTATTTTTATACCAGTTTTACAAATGAGGACATCCCCCAAATGGAGGGTTTTGTTTATTTTGTCAGGTTTTGCTCACTTTTGGGTACAAATTTGTCCCCAAAATATGGTTAAGTAGGTACACACACACACACACACACACACACACACAGCCTTCGGATTCATCCCAGACTTCAAAGTCCCTGGCTGCAGGAGACATTATCTGTATTATCTGTACACCTCCCATGCTGATACACAGTGGAGTCTATATTGAAAATGTGGAATTTCAAATTTAGAAACAAAAGTTTGAAGTTTACATTTTCATAAAAAAGTTAGTCACATGAAATTTATACTATTTGTACATCACAAATCAAATATAGGCAAATTTGTAGATGCTTATGGCGTCCATGTTCATATCTTTCAATTGTTTGAGTGGCTCATCAGAGCACATCTCACAAGACATTTGAACTACCATAATATTTTAGTTCATAGCAACTACAAAAAAAAAGATGATTTATGAAGCAGAAATTATAAAGTGGGTTTCATTTTATCACTATAAATTAAAAGAGTATGCGGTTGACTAACTTTAATGTTGTCTGAACATGTTCCCTTGATGACAAGAGATATTTCCACACACGCACAAAATTAAATAACCCAGAGCAAGAATTTCCCTCAAGGACTTAAACTTTAGGGACACTTAAACTGCATCCAAGCTTCAAGAGTATTCTTCATCTTTGATTGTCTATAAAAAAGTAATATGACAAATCTAATCAAGTAAAAGCAGAAACCCATGCCTGATTGATGACACCCAAACCTGTGCCGTGTTGTCTGGCTGGCTGATCTTGCCTGCAGCACCAAAGTGCGCAAGCTAAGATATCATGATAACAATGAGCACCATTATCTGCTTTTGAGTCTCATGAAGATCAATAGCAGGAAACTTTAAAATCCATAAATTATCTGATATAACTCAGCCCTGCAGCTAGAGTGAGGGAGAGTGTACGTTTGCTCACAAATTTGAGGGTGTATGTGAACGGCTTTTATCAAAGGTAAACGTTGCTGAGGTGCAGCACATTCTAAGGGATACAGAAGACACCCTAAACACACATTATACGCATTTCAGTATCCTGTGATAAAAATATCTGTGCAGTGAGAGTTTATGTACTTTAGGCAACTGAGAGAAAGCCTTGTTTTCCTGAGCAATAATAGGTAGTCATACAAGGTATAGATCTGTGTGCTTTCATATTTTATGGTGTCGATTCATGGCAAACTCATAATTGCGGATCATTTTTAACAGACTTAAATGGAAAGCTGTAATCAACACTTTCACAAAGTTAATCAAGTAGCTGAAATGAAATTCACCAAGTAATTATGCAGTCATATACAGAACAGGTTAAAGGAATAGTTCACCCATAAATGAACTTCTGCTGAAAATTAACTCACACTTTGGGCATTCAAGATGTAGATGAATTAGGAGCATATTTGGAGAAATATACATCACTTATTCATCAGACTCTGCAGTGAATGGGTGCCGTCAGAAGGAGAGTCCAAACAGCTGATAAAAAAAATCACAATAATCCACAAGTATTTCACATGTCTCCAGTCCGTCAATTAAGAAGCAAAGCAAAAAGCTGCATGTTTGTAAGAAACAAATCCATCAAGCAGTTTTAACTTTATACCATCTCTTTTGGTCCATAATGCTTCCTCCAATGTAAAAGTCCCCTGTTGTTCTCTCACATCAAAATCCACGACATATTTAGAACAGTTGTGGGCTGTTTTCGCCTGCAAATGGTGCTTGATCTGTGCATATTTCTCTCCTGATTCAGACGTGATGAAATTTCACCAGAGAAAGCAATATTATGGATAGAGGACTTTTGAGGATATTGGCTGAAAGTAATGGTTAACCCTTAAAGACCTAGAACATTTTTGGGGCACCTGACACGTCTGCACTTTTCTTTGTTTTTTAAGACCTATTCTAGCAGTCAGCATCAAGTGTCATATATTATTATAAACAGGAGAACTTGAAGTTTCAGTCTAGCTAATTAAAAGTCCCAGTTTTCCTTTTGTTTTCTCTACGAATGAATGAATTTCCAGAATCTTAGAAAAAATACCCAATTGTTGCTTGCGTTTTTCTTGTGTACTCAAACAGAAACTCCTGAAGTTTGGATTTTTTTTATTTTTTTTTAGAAAGTTGTACCTGGGTGTTTTACACTTCCAAATAAAATTGTCTACATGTAACATTCCCCAAGCAAGTTATAGCCATTTATTACAATATTGTTATAGGCTCTTTTCCGTGAAAAACAGGTCTATTTAGTTTACTAACAATATAGTCTAAAAAACATTTAGGGAGTAAAGAAAATGGAATCAGTGTTATATGAGTTCAACAGAAAAAATACTGAAAATTATCTTTATGAACTATATAAGAATTATTTACATAATTTACATTATATAAATGGATCGATCCGCTGGCTGTATCTGTATCGGAATCGATTTTACCGGGACATCGCCTAGCAATGCGCAGACATAAATTCCAGTGCTTTATCCAATATGTACTGCTGTTTCATCCTTGTTTTTGGTTTGTTTTATGTCGAAGTACTCAGTCGTGTGTTTTTCTGGGCTTTTTCAGTGAGTTCTCTAATGCAAATGTGTTATTTTGTGTTTGTTTTCATGCACGCATGACAGACTTTACTTTCACTTTGCGTTTGTTCAAATTTACAATGAAAAATCCTAAATGGTGTTTATTGGTTGAATATGGGACGGTTTGAACCAATCTGGGCACGGGGGTGGGACTAAGCGTCAACAAGCTTTCCTGTATGGCGCAGAGGAACGAAATGCATTGGTTTCTTCTGACGAATCAATGTTGTCAAAATGTGATGACGTAACCACGAGCGCTACAGAGCCTCTGAATATCCAAATAAGACAAATTAGATATCTCCGAAAACACTTTTTAAAGCATTCAGATAGGATTAGCGGTTCAAAAGTTATTAAACATTTAAGAACAATAGTTATTTTTAGCTGCGGGCGGCTGTCTCGGTCTTTGAGGGTTAAAGCTAAAAAGGTCTTGATGGATTTGTTTCTTACAAACACACAGTTTTTCGCTTCCCAAGAAATTAATTGATGGACTGGAGTCTTGTAGTTTACTACAAGAGGATTATTGTGATGTTTTTATCGGACTGTCATTCTGACAGCACCCATTCGCTGCAGAGGATCCATTGATGAATAAGTGATGTAATGCTAAATTTTTCCAATGCTCAGATGAAGAAAAAAATAATTTACGGGTGAGTAAATTTTCAGCAAATTTTCATTTTTGGGTAAACCATTCCTTTAATAGGGTAAAACATGCAAAATGGAGATGAGGTTACTGTACAACTGGTAGCTGAAAGCAGTATCCAATCAATCAAATTTTTTAAACAAGCAAACAATGGGTGGGGGGGATGTGTAGAGCTTTGTGAATGACAGGTGTTCAAATTCTGTGGAGCTTTCAATGGAATTCTATGAGGACAGAAACCACGCAGCCTGCCTATAAATGATCTGTGCAGCATTTGTTTTTGATAGGGAGAAGAGGTTTGCGTTGGTTTGGGAAAAAAAATGGCACAAGCTGGATTTAAACTGGGGTTGCCCACAAAATTGTCAATGCACACACTAACACACGCATTGAGGTTGCTCTTGCTCAGTATGCTGTTGAGTGTATGAAAAACAGAGGTGTAGGAGTCTGGATGAGCGTGTATGTGATGAATTTGATTTCCATCAGCATACTTCTCATATTGCTGTATAGACAGGTGGTTCAAGACAGACCTTACCAGAGCAGAGCATCATTAGCACCCACTCTCACACCACAGCACACGCTGCCAGAGACAGTTAAAAGTGCCCCATAGGAGCACTTAACAGGCCCTAAATTATCAGACACTAAAAAACATTTCTATTCTTTACAGCTTACATCTCTTATAAAATGATCCTTACCGTGAGCCTGCACTTTGTTTTACATTCATACCACACACCCTGTATGTTTGTATAACGTTCATAAAGAGAGACACTACATTTACACCCAGTTTAGCTGTTATTTTTTAATAGGGATGCACTGATATTAAAATTGTCAAATATTTATGTCAATATTTTATGTTATGACAAATAACAGATATTAATAAATAAATTACAAATAAAACACTAAAACCAAAGAACAATACTTTGAAATGCTATAGATGAATCCCAACATTACAATTTACTGTATGAAAAAATTTATATTCATTTTAAGATCTGCTGAAAATTAAAATGACATTTAACAGTGTCAAATTACTGTTGTTTTAAAAGATTAACTTTTTATCTTTAACTCAGCTAATCTAATGGGAAATGAGCAATGGATCATCCAATATATCGCATATGGTATACATCCAATATATAAAGTCTAAAATTGGCTAATAACTAATATGGTAGATATATTGTGCAACCTATAATGTGCATATATTGTGAAGTTTTTATTCAAAGTGAAAACATTTCTTGCAAGGACAATCAAATTTACAATAGCAATACAAGAGCTAAGCTTCTAAACCTAGAACTTTTGGGTTAGCAGCAGACATTTTTAATCACCATGCCACCAAAGCTTTAAATACTGTATATCAAAAACACACACACCTGTAAAATGCATCAAAATGTATTCACCAGTAGGCTTCAAATTGTTCAGACTGCACTCATATTTAAAGCATAAGCAAACTCAAACAAACATGCGCAGGAGCTATGCGGCAGCAATGGAGCTTGACATCCATGCATGCCCTGACTAGTAAAAGACACTGAGGAACAAGAATAGAAAGACCGAGCGGGAGATAGAGAATGCAATAGGGAAGCACTAAAGGGGACTTGGTGTTGTAAATCCAAGCTTTCGAAATCATGTCAAAACTAGCTTGCAAACGGTTTACAACCTCAAGCTTTCCAACCAATCAGAACCCGTCTTTAACGATAAGTTCACAACTCTCCTCTCACTCAAAATCACACTGACAAGAGGACTACAATGTACAGGGAGTACTTTTAACCACACTCCTCATATCTATATTTAATGGACGTGAGCCCATTTAAAACGCGTGACACCAAGGAGGGAACCAGATCCCACCGATGAGCGTCTTTTCTAATTGTGGAACCCAAGACGTGTTACCGTGACATCACCTCTTTGTCAAACGCAGATCAGTGTGCAGTCACCAGACTTATTACAGTATTTCAGGAACACGCTAGGACTCAATGAGCACACTTGATACAATGACCCCAACACAAAGCTCAAATGTACAGCTAATAAAATTAGAACCTACATCTCTATTAAGAACTCTGCATTGTCATTCTTCAGATAAGATAATTATATCACATGCCCAGTGTCTGGGTGCTTAACACCACCAAGTGTCATGTGAAAACAACTTATGCTATAGGTTTCCTTCACTTTTCACATTGCATATCCTGTTGTTTAGTGCTAGCAACAAGTTCACAGGTTTGATTCTCAGCGAATGCATGTACTGATATAACCAGTGTTGGGGGTTACGCATTACAAGAAACGGAAGTTACGTAATCAGATTATATTTTTCAAATAACTAAGTAAAAAGTTACTTTGTTTTTTCCATTTATTCACTGACACCTCCCATGCTGAGAGAAATTGGGAGTGAGGTGCACAGGCAGAGGAACTAAAATCACTTTTGGTGTGGCCTTTACAGTTGCCAAAAATATAACTTTTTTGTTATCAAATATAAATAAACAAGCCAAGCTCAGGTGACACAAAGTAAACCAAAAGTAACACTTAGTTACTTTATTTATGAAGCAACACAATACAGCAATATATTACTTTAAAAGTAACTTTCCCCAACACTGGATACAAAGTTTACCTTGTATAAACCATAAGTTTGGAATTTTGGATATTGTCTGTAAACTGCATAAATGTAAACGTAATGTTTTACTATTTGCAAATTTGAAATATTTTGCAATGTATAACTTTCTTTGAAACAAATGTCACTTCGTTTGATATTTTGTTATCTAATGCAATGACTTTCATGCGTTTTTAAAAGCGGATTAAAAGCCACTGTACATTATATACTAAACCATGCTGCATGATTCTATTTGTGAGTTAAAAAGGCACAGATAGAAAAAAACCCATAAGACTTCATTCTGGCTGTCCACCTCCATCAGATTCTTGTAGAGGAATCTCACATAAATAGCAACTTTGTTTTGGCACAGCTTAAAAGGAGAGAGCCTGCTGATCCCACAATGAGGTGAGCATCAACCCAAGAGAAACATAAAATTCCCCTTGTCTTTCATCACTTGTTCTGATTTTATCAAGATAAGCAGAAAAATGGAAAGAACCGGAGTAGTTAGAAGAACATAATGGCTGAGTCCCCCCCCCCCTTCAGGTCTGATGAAATATAAACCAAGCCATTGTCTGAACAGGCTAACGAATGAGGTTTTTCTGACTAACCAATTAGAAGACTTACTGTTGACACAGACTGCAAAGTCTTTAAAAAATAAAAACAGTACCTGAAGGATCTAGGCCATTCATGTAAAGAATCTGTTAAAAACAAAAATTACCCTCACAACTGGGGACAATTAACTGGACTGAACATAATTATAAATGCCAAATTTGAAAGCTTTCATAACCCTTGCTTAACAAACAGAAACAAATTGCATCTACCGCACATTTGCATATATATTGACCTGATCAGCGGTGACATTTTCGCAGGTAATAACTGTCAGGAAGTTATTACCGTATTTGGTGTCTGGTCAGTAAATTGGGTGACAGGGTGAACTATGAGAGGGATGGCTAATTAGGTCTCTTCTCTCTGTCGGTCTCGGTCTCATATGCACACACACAAACACAGGAGTAGAGTTTCCAGCACACCTGTGCACCTTGTCAACGGGTATCTACTTTCACACCAACACAGACCTACTGTCCTTACACAGGTCATGACCCCTTTTCTCTAACAGGAAGGGAACAGCCAGAATGACTGCTGCTATCATTAGAATTTTGCAAAGAGGTTCATAAATTGATGGTCTGGCCAATCAATCATTCTGAGAGTGTAAAACAGATCATAAATCTGCAGAACTACAAAACCTGGAGGCATATTATGACACACAATCATAAAGTCAGCTTGAAGTGAAAAGATATTTAGGCTAGTTGTCCAAAGTCAGTAATAGAATCACATCATTTACAAAGTCGATAACAGGATTATTTCTGTTATGTAGGACTTTTTGAGCTCTGTAATGTTCATTTAATAAAATATTTATATACAGGTGCATAGCAGAAATATGATCTGCTCAGGCTTAGGCACTTAAAGCAAAACAATTTACAAATGCCAAGAAAATTAACAGGATGGAACGTAACAGAATGGAAATAAAGAGCAGAACGTAGCCATTGTTCATTGAGGGATTAGGCTAGCCTTAGGATATCAGTCAAATGAGTTTAGATATTTTTAATCGACTGTAGATAATATAATTCAGATTTTGGTTGTATTACAAATTGTATTAAACAAGATATTAATGTAAAGTGAGACAAGCCAACTAATAAAACAAATGCATTAGTATTTGATTCAAAAACTTGGTTTTGATATTAGAAAATATTACAGCTATTAATATTTATATGGACTAAGAGGGTGAAAAGTTTAAAGGCAAAAATGACATCTGCTTAACCTAAAATAGTCAAAGTGTTTTAAACTTTACTCTTATGTTAAATGATTTGTAAAACTATGATAATTAATGAATTCCATCCTATAAATGCGTTTTATTCAATATATTAGGATATCTATGAAATAGAATTACGCATTTGTTTACATGTAGTGTTCCTCTATATACACATTGTGCTGGAAATGCAGCACGTGCAGTGTGTAAAAAACAAACGCCATGACATAATTACCTTGAACACCTCGGAGAAGAAACCTGAGCCGATTTTCTCGCAGATAAAGTCATCTATTCGTGCCAGGCTGGACACTGCGCTGCGCAGCGCCCGGTAAGAGGACGGCCTGGGCCGGTGCGCTCCGTGAATCCCGTGCAGAAAAGAATCCGAAGCCTCCGGGTCCAAGTCTTCTTGATCCATAACGATGGTCCCGGATGACATTATCTCGCGCACTCTAAATTCCACCACGAGCGTTTACATATTTCTGACGCTCACGCAACACTGCAGTTTCAAGATCCCTGTAATTGTTTGACAAGA